GCTACCCAGTTCCCAAGTAAATCACATGGAGACTTACTCTTACTTATGAATGCCCGGCCTTAACTTGGCTTATTTCTAGCCAGTTTTCCTTAACTTAATTATGCTGTCTTGTGGATGCACAGATTAAGATTCACAGGACTAGGTTCAATATAAGCTTATTGGGGGAGAATGCACTTACCCATGAAACAGATTTGTGTTCCCTCTCCAAGGATCCACCCAGGCTGCTCTCCTTGACCTCACCCTAAGCTACAGAGAGACCACCTGTCCCCTGACCCCAGACCTAATCCGGGCCTGAATGGGCGTGGTGGTCAATGCACCTGGATATTTCACTACACCGTCATTGTGATGCCTCTGGGCTTTTTTTTTTTTTTTTTTTTTTGAGGGGGGGTTTCCAAGACAAGGTTTCTCTGTGGCTTTGGAGGCTGTCCTCAAACTAGCTCTTGTAACCAGGCTGGTCTCGAACTCAGAGATCCGTCTACCTCTGCCTCCTCAGTGCTGGGACTAAAGGCCTGCACCACCACCGTCCAGCGCCTCTGGGCTTTTATCTTTCTCTATGGTATGTACCTACCTACCTTTCTTCCTTCCTTCCTTTCTTCCTTTCTGTCTTTCTCCATGCCTTGCTGTGTAGCTGGCCCCTGATGTCCTCCTCTCCTTTTCTCCCCCATCTTTTCTCCCCAGATTTCTCCCATTTATTCTCTGTCTGCCAGCCCCCACCTACCCTTTCTCCTGTCTTGCTATTATTGGCCATTCAGCTTTTTATTAGACCATCAGGTGTTTTAGACAGGCAAAGTAACACAGCTTCACAGAGTTAAGCAAAAGCAACACATCTTTGCATCATTAAATATTCCATAGTTTAAACAAAAGTAACACATCTTCAACTTGCCTGATGAGGTAAGACTCATCAGTAGACCTAACGCTCTCAGGACAGGTCATTAGTTAAGGGTCTCTACAGATACACAAGAACACAACATCTCCACAGTAGCCTTCTACACAGGACACATGTCCTTAGTAGTCTTACATCTAGAGAAACATCAGACCAACCCAGATGGGGACATGCCACAGAGCTGAGATTTCCGAAGTAGCAGCCAGCTGCTCATGCCTGTAACCCTGCACACGAGAGGTTCTGGCAAGAGGACTGGCATATGAGTTCAGGGATAGCCTGAACTACATATGGAGTGTCAGACCAGACAGGGCTCCCTGGCAAGAACCTCCCCTCCTCTTGGGGGGGTATTCAGACAGGATTTCTCTTTGTAGCTTTGTAGCCAGTCCTGGAACTCGCTCTGTAGACCAGGCTGGCCTCGAACTCACAGAGATCCACCTGCCTCTGCCTTTGCCTCCTGACTGCTGGGATTAACGTGTGCCTCCACCATGGACTGTGGAGCCTGTCTCAAATAAATTCCTGCTATCTGGGGTGGGGGTGGTGGGGGTGGGGTGGTGGTGGTGATGCACAACTTTAATCCCAGCACTCGGGAGGCAGAGTCAGGCAGATCTCTGAGTTTGAGGCCAGACTGGTCTACAGAGTTCTAAGACAGCCAATGCTACACAGAGAGAAACCTTGTCTTGGGAAAAAAAAAAAAAGGAATGCCTTAATCCCAGGATTTGGAAGGCAGAGGCAGGCAGATCTCTGTGAGTTTGTGGTCAGTCTGGTCTACAGAGTGAGTTCCAGGACAGCCAGGGCTTTGCAGAGAAACCCTATCTCGAAAAACAAAATAATACTAGGTGAAAGAACTCATGCCAGCCGGGCGTTGGTGGCACAAGCCTTTAATCCCAGCATTCTGGAGGCAGAGGCAGGCGGATCTCTGTGAGTTCAAGGCCAGCCTGGTCTCCAGAGCGAGTGCCAGGATAGGTTCCAAAGCTACACAGAGAAACCCTGTCTCGGAAAAAAAAAAAATGCCTACAACCCCAACATTCAGTAGGCTGAGGCAGGATTGTCCAGGAGTTCCAGGTCAGCCTGGCTAAAAAGGAAGTTTGGGGCCAGGTGTTCATCTCCATTCTCACAATGGCATCTCCTTCCAAGGGTTGCAAAGAGGAAAGGAGTTCATATATAAATTTAAAGTAGGAAAACTACTGGCATGATGGCATCTCCGTGTTCAAGGCCATCCTGTTCTGCAAAACTGTGTAAACCCTGTCACAGTGGAAACCTTTTCATCTAAGCTTTGGATCTGCTACACATACATACCAAGAAATTGAAATCCTGGCTAAAGGATCTCCAGCTGGCAGCCTGTGGTTGAGCCAGCCTTCAGCCTTTACAAAGCTAGTTAAACTAGGACCTGAAATACTGAAACTTCCAAGTCTTTTCCTTGTAGGATCAAATCCTAGGTGAATACTCAACTCTCTTGGTGATTTCACGCAAAATACTTAATTGCTTTGAGCCTGTTTCCTCATTTAACCAAGAGGATAATAACAAGAATCACGTCAAACTGCTAGGCAGCACCAACGCTTAGGAGGCTGGGGATGGGATTGCGGGGGCGAGATGAGTTAAAGGACAGCCTGGGCTACACAGTGACTTTTGAGGTCCCTCTCTCTAAAATAGTACTTGGTGGCAAAGACTATGCCTTACTCTGAAAACTCCAAGGGACAACGGTCAAACACTTGTCTGCCATTCTACAAGATTCTGTTTGTTTGTTTGCTTGTTTGTTTTTGTTTTCCTGGCGCCAGAGAGGGGCAAAGAGGTGCCTGACGCAAAGTAGTACTTAGGACAGCTACCATTTTGTGGACCAAGGTTAGGGTTCGCACGTCTGGAGATTACCGAGCAGTGGCAGAAGACGCATAAAGGCCGGGAG